TCAATCTCAATTCACGTCTCATTACGGAAAAGGGTAATACCCTAAATTCACTCATATCCCTCTACTTCTAAATACATAGTTTATTTTCTGTAACATGGTCGTTACATTAAATCCACTCATATCCCTCAACTTTCAAATACATAGCTACATCGATCTCCATTCACGTCTCATTACGGAAAGGGTAATACCCTAAATCCACTCATATCCCTCAACTTCTAAATATATAGTTTATTTGCTGTAACGATGTGGTTACACTGAATCCACTCATATTCTTCAACTTTCAAAGATGCTCAGTAGATGTTGGTGATGATAATGGATTTGATACGCGAGGTATGTAATGTCGTAATTGCTAAGGATAGATATGGATACGGGCTGTAACAGGATTATGACATCACTCGATTTGCTTATAGTTTTGAGATTTGTGTTTACTTTCAAGAACACTGTAATCGGTAAGAAAAGCAGTGTTAATTCATCCTAGTCTTAATGTACATAGATTGGTTTTTTTTTAAATTACATTTCGTCACATGTAATGCGTATAGAATAATAATCGAAATCCAATGCCGCAAAATTTAACTGGGATAAAATTGAAAAATTCAAATCATTGATTATAATTGTAGCCAGGGAAACTACTTATTTAGTAAATGTATCTTATTTCGTTGCATGGTAGTTTCCTATAGACACACGATACTAATCTTAATGTTCAGCTTCTTGTATATAAGCACAAGCTATTAATTAGCTTTTTTTGAAGAGACAGTGTCACTGCATCAGTTTATATGAAGTATGAAAATGGATGATCAACATTGATTTGATTTAGCTGTTAGAAATCATTGAATTATGTGATGTCACGAAGCTAATCTTGTTGACTTCGTTCGGTTGACATTCTGTGTTAATTTCAAAAAAAAAGTAGATAGAATACATTTTAAAAAGGTTACTTTTTATTACAGTAGACAAATACAAAAAAAATACAGAATAAGAGAACAGTTTTTAAAGAAATGAACAGAAAATATTAATAATATGCGGAAATAAACATGGAGAATTGATGGATGTCATAATACCTATAATTCGAGTATCGAGATTCATAACATAGCTATAAGGATATTCACTTATCATATTCAAGGCATCCATATGCCTAAAAAATTGAGGGTTTTCAATGAATTTGGTATAATGAGATGGATACACAACTCGATACCCATTCATCTATAAAGTTGGTGATATTCTTGAAGCAATGTGAGGTACATATTGTCTGCATATCCTACCTACTCCCTCAGCCTTCACATAAAGGTGTACCATACAGCCAGGGCCACAGCTACACCCACATCCACCTCACGTTCCTACGCGCATACACACCTTCACTAATACAAATAACTTCATGGTGGCTACCACCTGCATCCGCAAGCCAAGTTTTGACAACCAAACCGTCACGTAGACAGTGACCCACACTCGCATTTGAAAGCCAAAGCCACACACCTTCAGCCACATTCATATCAACATCATCACTCGCATGAACATACTCACCTACACCCTCAACTAAAGAAAAAATATCGCACCTATCAAAACTGACTCCTTAGGACCCTAAAGCCGAAATATAGGAAAAAGCTAAGTGTCTTCTTTTTCATCCATCACTCTCACACTAACAACATCCATCATCAGTGTGCTCTCGAATCCATCGCAACATCGGGCAAATTATCATAAAGTAAAAGGTTAAACCAGTAATGGCATAGATAGAATCTACTTAATCTTCGATCTTAAAAAGTCTAATTTATACGCACTGATAGAGTCTATACCTAACTGATGGTGACGGCCGACCATAAGCCAAAATATTTCTTATGAAGCTTTGAAACTTTCTGCCATAAAAACTTACTCATATACTCACTCTCACTGTCATCTATTTTATTATGCTCAATTTTATCTTGTTCGCTGATAAGGTCAGTCAAGAAAGATTTGGCAACTATCTTTTTCTTCATTCTTTTATATTATGGCAATATACTTTGGGTTGTGCTTCTTATCGCTTTTCTTCTATTCTGTTTAGAAGAAAAACTATTGAAAGCAGTGAGAACAATATTATTTGATAGAATTTGGCGAGCTGTATCTACTTCTGTAGGTTTTTTGTTATTGTGCACTTGTGTTTTCTTTTTTATCTTCCAAGCTCTTGTGATAATGTTACTATGGTAGAATCAACATAAATATAAAGGTGAAGGTGAATGTAAGCTATCGTCATTTTTTCAATTTGAATACACACTGATGGCTAGTGCAACGAACAAAAATTCTAATGCACGATTTCTTGATGGCAACGAGGAGCCCAATCAAATTCTGCTGCCTATTCGTGGTTATGCAAAGGAGCTACTGCTACCACTTGAAGAGGCTATTAAGCCGATCGATGATCAACTCGATGATCTCGATATAATGGTTGACACGGCCAAACGAAACTCAAAAAAACCGGCAGATGGACTTACTTCTGACGAATCGGCTGCGATTCACCTATATACGATGCAGTGGGAAGAGCCGAATGTAAGCCTTTATACTAAGCTCAATAGCACCCTCCGATCGAAACGACGAGAACCACTCAAACCATGGTTTCGCTACTTGAAGCTGGTTCTCACTGCTTTATTCAAGCTGCCATCATTGAAGGCTACGGTTTGGCGGGGAGTTCGCGGCAATTTGACCGATCAATATGATGATGATATAGTATGGTGGGGATTTAGTTCATGTACGGAGAGTATGCGTGTCATGGAACAATTTGTTGGAACGTCAGGTGTACGAACTTTATTTACTATTGAATGCACTAGTGGTAAAGCTATCCGAGCTCATTCACACTACAATGAAGAAAATGAAATCCTTCTTTTGCCTGGCACTTACTTTCGTATTGTGGATAAATGGAGTCCAGCAAAAGATTTATACATGATTCATTTGCGAGAAACACCTCCACCACGACAATTCCTTGAACCGCCTTTCACATCGACAACATTGGACACCTCCATTGCTACAGCGGTGGCAACATCTATGGCAAAACCAGTTAAAGAAAATATTGCAATTTCGAAAGCCGAAGGTCTACCAAGTGCTGCTGCTACAGCATCATCCATCAAACCAAAAAGTAAGCGTTTTTTTCATTCTATCCGGCATATTTCTGTAGAGAATTCTCCGTGTAATATTCAGTAGTAGGACATGAGTATGTAGAGAATCGAAGTTAACAAATATTTTGTTTATCGAGGCCAGCTGAAAAAGTTTTTAAATTAGAGACAAGCTTGTGGGAGTGAGCTCTAATGTGAATGTTAAACGAAAAGGTCACTAGTTTTTGCAGATGTTTATGAAGCTTGAAGTTTTATCTAGGTCCGATCTTAGCAAAATCTATATTCTTTTAATTCATTTATAGTGTATTGAAGAACCCAAAACTTCAATAAAAACATGATGTATTTAACATCAAAATAATGAAAAGTTAACCAGTGAGACATCATCAGATTAAAAAAAATGAAAATTCCATGCATGAAATGAACATTTTAATGTTTTCTATAAACTCATCAATACGTCTTGAGTGTCAATTATAGAATATCAAAAACAATTACTTTCAATCCCATCACTACGAGATTAAAGTATAAAATGAGGTGGAACTATTTGAACTGTTAATAAGAATCAGCGATAATAGCACCACATGTAGGATATGTCTATCATAGTAGTATATGATGAGTACCACAAGATCATATATCAGCAAACAAAAGTGGAGTTTTTATATTTCTGAATTCGACACATCTGAGATATTCAATACTTGAAGATGGCTTTCAAGATTAGCATGTATGAGGTTGTAGGACAGAATGGAAACATCGATTTTCCATCATAAATAATTCAGCCATCATTGTCAATCTTGCTTGGTAGAGAAGAAACTATCAAATTTGTGTTGAAGTTACTCAGAATGTTGACAACTTTCGTTTAGAAGGCCAAGAATTCGCCACATCTGGAACGGACAAGAAACTATCTCAAAATGAATCATTATTGGTGTGGTGTTTGATTTATACGATATTTTGAATCATTGACTCCAAACAGAGATAAGTAGATGAACAAAGCGATTGTTATTAGCATTCGTCTATTTTATAATTTTTCTCAACACTTGACTATAACAAAGGTTTCATTTGCAAGAAGTAAAATAAGTGAACAAGAGGTTAAAGGTCGTATTATTCAGTCATTTCTTATGTAACCTCTACTCCATTGAAGAACTTTTGAATTTACTCTGAGAAAATCAATATAAACGAACATCATCGTCCTAAAGATTATTCGATAGTCAAATAATTTCAATCATTAGGTCGACTTGAACGAGTTCATCCTTAGTGAACATGTTTTTTGAATGGAACATTTGTGCCAATTGCGGGAAATGCCGTGATGATCATTCATTTTTCACAGGATCTTGAATTTATAGACAAACTGTGGATCTTAAATTTGAAGTGAAACCATTATAAACGAACAGAACATTGATTTAATTGATTCCTTTGATAGTTCATCTTCTTTATGCTTAACAGCTGAGTCATAGTGCTTTGAAGTGAATGGAATAGATGAATACAACTGTTGGTACTATTGAAATCATTCATTTGACATGCAAGCATCGATGTGCAATCGAATCGAAATAGTCACTATAGTGCAAAAGAAAATAGATCAACCAAACCTACGGGCGATGATAATCATCTATTTAACAGATGATTCTCGATAAGTTTATCTTTCTTGAATTCTTGCTTTCATGTACGTAAAACAGATGAACAAAATCATCCAACAAGCTGGAAATGGATCATGATGATTTGTTTGTGGTACGATCGTCGCATACCTTCATCAATCGAAAACTTTCTATCGTATCAAGTAATATAAGTGAACAGATCATCCAGAATCAGAATAATTCCTTTTTTATCTGAACTTTTATTAATTTGTGAACTCCCATTATGATAAAAAAAGTGAATACCAATAACAAACAAGACCATTACAATAATTATGATCAGTCCTGCACCTTATTATCTTTCAAAGCAGCTTATTCTTGAAGCATTTGTTTTAATGAACACAGTATCAATGAACATGAGAATTGGACAGACAATGATCATGATAATTCCTCTTCTATGTAATCTCTTGATCAGTCGATAGTCTCGTACATTTTCATTCCAAGTAAGTTGACAAAATAGATGAATGGATTCATCAACAACGTTGTATTGATCCATATATCTTATTATCTTCGATCAGCGCATTAATTTTCATAATTTATTTGGATATTTGCAAAGATAGTTGAACAAGTCTTTTGGTAAATGATAATTTATATGCCATGAGATCTTTTTCAATCACACATAACTTGGATGTTTTAGTTCAAATTGAAAAACATAAGTGAACAAAATCTCGCTAATGCATATTTACTCATCACACGATCGTTGATCAATGTCAGCAAGACTTGATCTTCATTTCAAAATGCGAAACATAAATGAACAGAACAATGGTGAGAATGATTCATTTGGCATGTGGCTTTTATGTACTTAACAGTTCATTATCTTTCGTATGGATGAAGAAAAATATTTGAATGAACCTCTGAATATGCAAATCATTCATTTTTTATGTACTCGTCGATCCGCAGGTCGATTCACAAGGTTCGATTCGAGTTTCAGAATGAGATGAAAACATAGATGAATAGAACCATTGGAATTACTTCAAGCGTTATTATTATTCATAAGTCGTGTTATAGTGGATGAACTATCGTCAATGCAACTACTTTGACATCAAATGAATGAAATAAGTGAACAGAACTTTCGTTAGGATTATTCATTTGATATGTCATGATAGATTAGCTATAGATCGTTCAATATTTGTTTCAATTTGATGAAAATGAACAAACAACATACTACTGATCATTGTCATTCGCTTGTTACCTTAGATACACTGAAGTGTTCGTGGAGAAAATTGTGCTTTCAGGTAACTGTGATTGATGAATGGATGGTTGGAGCAACATGTATTTATTAAGCATCCTTTGCCATGTAATGTTCGATCAGCTGACCGAGTCGCAACCTTTGCTTCGAAGTGAGCAAAAGAGGTGAACAGAAGTATTTTGATGAATGTTCGTTTGCCATGTGATGTTCGATCAGCTGACCGAGTCGCAAACTTTGCTTCGAAGTGAGCAAAAGAGGTGAACAGAAGTCTTATGAGTAATGTTCGTTTGCCATGTGATGTTCGATCAGCTGACCGAGTCGCAACCTTTGCTTCGAAGTGAGCAAAAGAGGTGAACAGAAGTCTTATGAGTAATGTTCGTTTGCCATGTGATGTTCGATCAGCTGACCGAGTCGCAAATTTTGCTTCGAAGTGAGCAAAAGAGGTGAACAGAAGTATCTTGATGAATGTTCGTTTGCCATGTGATGTTCGATCAGCTGACCGAGTCGCAACCTTTGCTTCGAAGTGAGAAAAAGAGGTGAACAGAAGTATCATTATGAATGTTCGTTTGCCATGTGATGTTCGATCAGCTGACCGAGTCGCAACCTTTGCTTCGAAGTGAGCAAAAGATGGGAAAGCGCAGATTGTTTGTGTGAGGACAATCGACGTGTGTAAGAATGTGAAAATGA